CGCCCCGCCCCAGGACTCGCCACTGCCCTGTTCCATCACCGCACCACCGCCCCTAGGGCCCGCCCCCGCGCCACAGACCCGCCCCAGAACACGCCCCAGTGTCGCCTCCAGTCCCTGCCTACAGGTCCCGCCTCCAGGCCCGCTACTACCGCCCTAGGGCCCGCCCCCGCGCCACACACCCGCCCCGGGACCCGTCCCAGCATCTTCCCCCGCCTGCAGGTCACGCCTCCAGACTCCGCCCCAGAATTCCGCCACTGCCCCTCGCCATCACCGCACCACCTCCGAGACCGTCGGCCCCGCCACCGCCTCGCGTCATTGCCCGGCGCCTAGAATCCACCCCCTTTTCCTCCCCTTCCCCATCCCACACAGACCCGCCCAGGACCCGCCCACACGTCGCCTCTTGCCTCCAGGACCCACCTACAGGCCCCGTTTCAGGCCCCTCCCCAAAGGCCCGTCCCCACATCACTGCTGCGCTCCCGGCCACGCCTCGCGTCACTGCACCACCTCCCGAGGGCTGATACCTCTGGTCGATTGTGGTACCTGTTCCTGGAGAGCTAAGGACCCCTCGCCAGAATTCACGACGACCCCGCTAGCACAGAGACTCGGGGCTTGGGGGGACACACTGCTAGTAAGAAGGACAGCCATGCCTGAAGCCATGGTCTGCCCCACCCTATTCAACCCCCTCCTGGGTATGGCTCCCACTAGCCCCATCCCCAGCGTACAATTAAAACCACAAGTCTCCCCCTACTCTGTGCCCAGATCTCGCCTCTTTGTCCCGTGTTCTAAACACGCGCGTCTTCACCCAGCAAAGCCCACCTTAAAGCCGCCGCCATACACTTCCCTGCCTCCCACCCTAAAAATAACGAAACCAAACTCATTGCCGTTTGGTCAGTTGGACTCACAGTGACACTATAGGACAGAGTAGAACTGCCCCATAGCGTTTCCAAGGCTGTAAAGCTTTACTGAAGCCAACTGCCACATCTCTCTCCCCCGGAGTGGCTGGTGGGTTCCAACGGCCGACCTTTCAGTTAGCCGCCGAGGACTTAACCACTGCACCACCAGGGCTCCCACCCTAGCACCTCCCAAAAAGATGAAAACGCAGAAATCTAGTCCTCTGGACTCCCATAGTTTTTACGGCTCGTTTCCACATTTCAAAAATGTTAAGCGCCGTGGAGTCAGTTCGGACCCACGGCAACCCTATGTACAAAAGAATGAAACACTACCTGGTCCTGCGCCATCCTCACAATCATTATGTTTGAGCCCATTGTTGCAGCCACCGTGTCAATCCATCTCATCGAGAGTCTTCTTCTTTTTCGTTGACCCTCCACCTTATCAAGCATGATGCCCTTCTCCAGGGACTGGTCCCTTCTGATAATACGTCCAAGGTATGTGGAAGTCTCGCCATCCTTGCTTTCAGGGAGCACTCTGGCTGTACTTTCAAAACAGACTTGTTCATTCTTCTGGCAGACCATGGTTATATTCAATATTCTTTGCCAACAGCATAATTCAAAGGCATCAGTACTTTTTCCATGTTCCTTACTCATTGCTATCTTTCACATTCATATGAGGCGATTGAAAATACCATGACTTGAGTCAGGCGCACCATAGTCCTCGAAGTGCCATTTTTGCTTTTTAACCCTTTAAAGAGGTCATTTGCAGCAGATTTCCCCAATGCAATATGTCACTTGATTTTTTGACTGCTACTTCCACGGATGTTGATAGTGGATTCAAGTAAAACAAACTCCTTGACAACTTCAATATTTTCTCCGTTTGTCATGATGTTACTTATTGGCCCAGTTATGAGGATTTTTGTTTTCTTTATGTTAAGGTGTTATCCATTCTGAAGTCTTTGATCTTCATCAGTAAGGGCTTCAAGAATAGTTGCTTCTATTTGTTGAGCATTTGCTATGCCCCAGTCACTGGACTAGCCACTTTGCATGTATTATACCAATTGTCCCTCACTACAATCCTGCCAGGGAAGTATTCTTTTCTCCCACTTTACAGATGTGTACACTGGGCTCAGGGAAGTGAAGTCACCATTCAAGGTCACACAGTAGTAAGTGACAGAGGCAGGTAGAATTCAAACCCAAACCTGATTCCAAAGCCCACACTCAACCAGGAGTCCACCTTAAGAAAGTAATCTCTTGAGTAGCGAAACTTTAGCCCCATTCATTCATTTATTCAACAAATATTTATTGAGGGCCCACATGTGCCAAAGTTTGTGCTGTCACCAATAATGTGAAAGTGAAGAAAACAGACAAAAACTCCTGCCCTTAAAAGGCTTACACTGATAAACAATATAAATAAATAAAAGATATAGTATGTTAGATAGTGACAAGTGCTAAGAAGAACGGAAAAAGAAAAAAAAACTGGGCAGGGGGACATGAAAGTTCTCCCTAGAGACCTATATCATTGGCTCAAAGAAAGTTTGTCTCATTTACCTGTACCCCTCCCCCTGACACACACACACACACACACACACACACACACACACACACACATCCTTTCCCCCTTGTCGCAGGGCCTGGCACATTCCAGGGTGGAGCTCACTTTTGGTAAACGGGATTAGGAGTCCTAGATTCTAGGCATAGCCCCTCTACTGAATGGTCCTGTGACCCTGGGCACATCCCTGCCCTTCTCTGGGCCTCAATCTCCCCATCAGTACAAGAAGGAATCAGGCTAGAAAGGATCCCTAAGGTCCCTTCCAACTCTGACGCTCCAGGATTCTATGAATAGGGTTAAAGAGAACAGGGACCAGAGATTGCATCCCAACCCTAGCAACTGTTACCAGACGAGGGCCACCTCCTGGTAGGGGTGGAAACCCCTCCCTGGATCGGGGAGGTCTTTCTAGCGTCCCATCATGCATCACGACTACACCTCGCTAGGAGGCACGTTTTGGCCTCTTTGGTCACGACCATCCCTTTGGAGCCACCCAAAGCTCGCACATCGTCCCTATGGCAACCTCTCCCGGTCCACGCGCAGATGGCGAGTGGCAAGGGTCAAAATAGATTCCCAAACTAGACGACTTCGACCTGCTCAGTCCGCGCCTTCTGTACGCTGGGCCTTTAAGGGTCACGTGATTCTGCTCCAGCTCGTCTCCTCTTCCTTCCCCTCCCCAGGCCGAGCGAGCGCTGGGGTGGACGGGAGGTTCCCGGCCCGGCGGACTGAGTGGAGTGCGGACGCTGCAGCCTGTTAGGCCGGTGCCCTTCCAGGTAACTTCTTCACGGCGTGACGCGCGGAGCCGCGAATGCGGCGGAGCCAGGCAGGCCCAGGGATCTCCCGTCAGTTCCTTCTTGTCGCCGGTCTCGGCTGGGCCCGGGGGGAATCGGGAGCCGACAGGTCTGGGTCCAGGGCTCTCGGGGGGCGGCGGGGGTGGGGGCTCTCTCCTGGAGGGTTGCGACCCCCGGCGGAAGCTCGAGACGAGGCGCAGACCCGGAGCGTGTCTGTGGGAGTCTCTGTCTGGTTCAAAGGGTGCTGCCCCGAGGGCGGGCAGCCTACCTGTTGGGCTGTTTGCTTCCTGCCCTGAGGCCGCCAGAGTCGAACCGGAGACTGTCAGCAAAAAAAAAAGAAAAAAGAAAAAACTTCACAGCCCCCCGCCTCTTCGGGCCTCTAATTGAAAGGGGCTGACACAGTTGAATAAGGGAGTGATTATACTGTAGAAATAATAGTATTAAGTACCACTTTCTGACTGTTGACCTTGTGCTCAGTTAATCCTTTACATACATTTAATCCCCAAGACGATCCTTCGAAGTAGTGGTATTTCTCCTCATTTTATAAATCAGTACACTACGTGCTTAGCAAGCTTGAGTAACTTGCCCAAGGTCATGAAGTGGTTGAGGATGGATTCCAACCCCTGTCTGATTCCAAAGCCCATGTGTTTAACCATAAACTACACCTCTTTCCCGGCTTTTATCAAGCGGTATTAATCCAGAAACACTGTGGAACAGAATGGGTTGTCTTAACGAGGAAGAAAGTGGTTTGTTTTAGGATTATATTTAGCATGCATGCAGTCCTAAACATTGGTCATCAGATTAATCAATTTTGTAAGAACTCCTAGGCAGCATTAGACTTCTACTTGTCAAAATCCACTGCTGTTACAGCTTTGTCCCTATTGAGTGAGGTTTCACACTGGAGACTTGAACCTTAAAACTCTAGTAATTTATGAAAAGTCAAGATAGATATGGCGTTGAAAAAATCATTGTATAGTGTCACAAAGATCATAATCCTGGAGTGTAAATGTCCAAGCAGTATCCCCACTAGTTCTTTCATTAACCGTTCACGATTATTTCCAAAACCTGCGATGAACTCAATCACTACATTCACCCAAGATGGAGCATAAGTTATGTTGAGACATGCCTGTCGTACAGTCTTTGCCGTTAATTCTGTTTTACGTGAAAACCTAAATTTTTTCTCACCACTTTTTATTTCTCATCTTAGGTCTTCATTTATAATGACCTTACTGCTAATGATTAAATTAAAAGTAGCTTCACTTACTCTGTCTGAATGGGTGTGGTGAGAAAGAATGGAATTGAGGCATACCAAGTCTAACTGTACAGTTTTTTAAGAGTATTTCACTTTCCTATTTGTACTTAATGTCCAAGAGCGCCACAACTGTGTCATTTTGTAGTTTAGCAAATGGTAAATTCTGTGATTTCGTGAGTTTATTTAGCACATGTTCAAGTGAAGTAGTCTTAAAGTTTAAACTCTTATTGTCAGAGTAT